ACACTTGGCTTAATATGTAATCATAAAAGGTATGTTTCTGTTATTTCAGTTTACATTGGGTGAATGACCTTCCCAGAGCTTTTAGAGAGGTAAGAAACTGATTTTAATAGTAAATATCAACTTGCACTCTGTATTTCCCTTAAATAAGGAGGCACAGAAATAGCTCGTGTTGCACATGAATATTTTTTTCAGTGTTTTTGGCATTTTGAGGAACATAAGTTAACACTTCTACTAATTTACTGTCTCAAATCAATTTGGAATAAATGCAAAACAAGATTTGCATATTTTATCATCTCAACAGCTGAGATCACAATAACTATGGTAGAATGAGACAATTATACTGGCTTTTATTGTATGTTAGCTCTTACTAATTGCAGTACAAAAGTTTTCTAAATCTTCTCCAGAACTGGTTTATAATTTTTATTATTTTTATATCTGAGCTATTTATCTTGAAATACAACATTAATTGGATGAATGCTTTTTGGTTTTTAAATGAAGCTGCTACTTGTTGAGGATGGAAAATTGAAACTTAATGAAAAATATCTTATTTTGGATTATTTCAGCTGCTTCTTACAGGTGAAAACTTGTTTAAAATCAGCTAATTTTGGAGCAGTTTGCTTGTTTTTCATTGATTTCAAATTGGTCAGTCATTATAGTGCTATTCTGTCACCTGTTGTGTGACTAGGTGTACTCTGCTGTTGTGGAAATAAAAATAGAAAATGCAATGCTTTCAGTACTTAAAAAAAAAAAAAAAGACTTGGGAAGAAATACATCATTTTCTCTGGAATTTAGGTGTTCTGTGGAGTATCAAATATTTTTACCCCTACAGGAAAAACAGCTAATACATGATAATGCCCCACAAAGAGGGGAGATTGGGGTTCTTGACTAACTTTCATTACAAATGCTCATTGCCTGTGTTTGGAACACTGGCTTTAACTCAAGGAAACCGCTTTTGACTGCTTAAATTCCTTACCTGTCAATTAAAGGCTTCTTTTCTAGCATAAAAAAAAAGTAGGTTGATTAAAATTTAATGTAAAACCAGTTTAAAAGATTTTTGTTTCAAATCAGCAAGATAAATTGCTTCAACCTTTTTCTGTCTTGTTAGCCTGAGTATGTAACACATATGAGATATATCTCTTCTGGATATCTGAACCAGGGATCATTGCCTATTTGAAAGGAAAAAAGAAAGCATGAATTTATTGCTTTTCTCAGTAGGAAGAAGGCTGGGAGTTACTAGACAAGAAATCAGCATGTCAGCCTTGGCATTTGAGTCATGCTACTGCTATTCTGGCTAATTAAGAAGAAGTAGGGGTAGACACAAGACGAACTGTGTTACTCCATTGTGTGTTCACAAGTGCCAAGATCACTACTTGAAACTAAGGCTTTGATTTCTCTTAAGCCATTAAGAAGTATTTTTGCTGCTTTCCTCTGAGAAAGTAGAAGTAAGTAGAAGCTATCTTAATCTTCCTTATTATCAGGAGTAAAGTTCCTGTTGTAGGAGTATCCCACTGAAAATAGCTTTAGCCTAGATTTCCACAGTGTTTGTGTTTCCTGATTGTAAGTGCAATTCCTAGGGATTCACTCTTTCTTAATAAGTTTGTTTTCAGACAGATTATTTTTCTTGCAGGGCTGCTGAAAGCTTTGGCACAGCTTGCCTTGTGGAATACATTCATTGTTAAAAATCTGTTACAACTATTCTAGCAATAAGTTCATTAAAAAGAAAACAGCAACAACAACAACAAAAAAAAAACCTTCTTGGTGACATAGACATAATAACAAAAACTCATTACTTTTCTCCTTCCTGTGTTGTAGATTCACCAGGTTCTTAAGCCAGATGGAGTATTCATTGGTGCAATGTTTGGGGGAGACACTCTGTTTGAGCTTCGCTGCTCTTTGCAGCTGGCAGAGCTGGAGAGAGAGGGAGGATTCTCTCCTCACGTGTCACCGTTCACTGCTGTCTCTGATCTGGGACATCTGCTCTCCAGAGCTGGCTTTAACACCCTGACTGTGGTAATTATACATACAAGAACAACCAGGCACAACAATCAACAACAGCAGAGCTGCTGGTGTATAAAAAATAGGATTTGCTAAAGTACTGAGGATGTACTGCTTCCTCCTGCATGTCATGTACCTTGCTGAGTAAGTTCCTGAAACAGCCTGGCTGGCCTCTGTTCTCAGCTTCACTGTGATTAATGAAACCAACTGAAGTGTGTCTTTGGCTAGTGGCCCAGTAGAATTTGGATGGTCAACTTGGAGAAATGTCAGAGAATGTTAGACCTGCTTGAAAAACCTCCAGATGCTCAGAGTCCTGTTTCTTCTCAAACCTAGATGGAAGTAATGGCATTTCAATTTAAAGTTTCATTGTGTTTCAGCTACTAAACAAAATGTTTTGGAAATGTTAATATAGCATATTCTTCTGAAAAAATATGGGGTTTCAACAGATGTGGGAGATGAGTATAGTCTGTAAGCAGCTCTGAAGGCTACCACAATGTTACTGGTCTAGCTTGATGTGCTCTAAAACAAAGTTTCTCAATTCTTTCAGGATACTGATGAAATACAAGTCAACTACCCAGGGTTATTTGAGGTTATGGAAGACTTGCAAGGCAAGTATATACTTTGTGAAAACATGAATGTTTTCTGTATCACTGATACAGGCATGGAGGAGTTTCACTGTGTGTGTCCTAACTCCAAATCATACAATCATAGAATGGTTTGAGTTGGAGAGGACCATTAAAGGTCATCTAGTCCAGCCCTCTGCAGTGAGCAGGGACATCTGCAACTAGAGCAGGTTGTTGAGAGCTGTGTCCAACCTGATCTGGAATGTTTCCAGGGAGGGAGCATCTACCACCTCTCTGGGCAACACGTGCCACTGTTTCACCACCTTTATCATACAAAAAACTTCTTCCTAAAAAAAAAATAAAAGAAAAATCAGTAAAGCTTATTTGAAACAGTGGATACATTACTTTTTTTTTATGATCTCTGGTAAACCATTCAGGAGATGACACCAGTCAGCAGTGTTGTGTTGGGAAGTCAACAGTTTGCTGCTTTGTGGCCTGCTGTCAGTTTTCAGCTTCCCTTATGTTGCCATTCTTTGTGAGCCTGTGGTAGTGCATGCTGCTGAAAGGCCTTGAAAGGGAGATGGAAGCATATATCCCACATAGTAACTTTTCCTTTGAGCCTCCCTGATTACCAGCACACTCAGGAAACTACTTTGGACTGAGAATAAGTGGACTCTCAAGGTGGAGTCTGCTGAGGAAGGCAAAAAAGAATGGAGATGCTTAAAAACTGTGTTAGTAATGGCACTTGGGTTGTGAAGCACCCATTCAGATGCAGTCAGTTGTTAACTTCCAGAGCAATTTGGGGCATCTTCTTACTCTGGATCAGCTGATGTTGGTAAGAGTTATTCCTTCAGGACAGTAAAACTTTCATTCTCTGCAGAAACATTCAGATGCAGTAAGTGATACAAGAGATTAGAGTTGTTGCTATTTTATTTCTTATTAAAAATCTCTTGGGATAGTAATTTTGATGCTTACTAGTTGAATAAAGTGTGTGTGGTATGTCTGAATAAACACTTTGTACTCCTGTTTTAAGTAAATTATACTAGAAAACCCAAATGTTTGGCGACTCCGGGTGAAGAAGTCACAATTTGAAATCTTTCCTAGCAATACAAACTAAATTGCAAAGCATTGGCATTAAAGAGCTTGGATTCTTTTAGGGAGGTAACCAAATTACTTGTGGTGTATTGCTCTCTTACAGCAAGGTTCAGAGGATTCTGTACTTCTCTGGTTTAGTAAAAATCTGTCATTAGTGCATGACACTTAACTCATGATATATGCTGTATCTTCTTTTTCTTAAAGCTCAAACGTATTTTTAGGTATGGGGGAGAGTAATTGCTCTTGGAATAGAAAGCCTCTGCTCCACAGGGACACGATGCTGGCAGCAGCTGCAATATACCAGGGTAAGGAGCTGAGAGGTAATGAGTTAATCTGAAATGACTTTAAAAAAGTATTTTCTGTGTCTTTCTGACCTATGTCTGAAAAAATAAAATGTAAAAAACCCACCCCGTTTCTGGAATAGAACAAAATACCATTATCCTACAGATATTTTTAACTTTAATTATAGTGACAGGATTTGAACTATGTTGATGCAGCAGTGTGAGATATTTTTATTGTCCCAAATCTTTCACCAAGAGTCATTAAGATGAATATGTCATACTTGGTTCTAATGTTCTTAGAACTAGGTGTTTCTTAGACTTGACATTCTCTCTGTCTTTTTTTTTCCCCTCTCCTTTCCTGGCCTACCAGAAATGTACGGAAATAGCGATGGCTCGGTACCTGCCACGTTTCAGATCTTCTACATGATTGGCTGGAAATTCCATGAATCACAGGTAATGTGAAGCTGAACTTTTTTCTGTTTGAAGGTACTTTTTAAATTACTGATGCTTTAAAAGCTTTAAAAGAACTGTTTTACTTCAAAATTAGCCCTATACATTTTTTTTCTTTTTGTTTTTCTTAGGCAAGACCAGCCCAGAGAGGTTCTGCAACAGTTTCATTTGGTGATCTGGCTAAAATAGATGGACTGATTTCCAAAGGGAAAAAATAATTCTTCATCAGGAATAAGTTGTCTTGAAGCTTCTATAGAACTCCTCATTGCAGATGGTCTTCACTTGTGCTTATATTGTGATAACGTTCTGAAATTATAACAATCTGCACAGGGCAGGGTTTTTGTCTTTTTTTTTACTGCCTTTGCTGGCCCTTCAGCTGTGTAAAATAGTGTTCATTTTTTTCTAGAGAAATATTTGAGCAGTATTCTGAGTGAATACATGTTTTCCCAACTTGTGATTAAATGACTGTTCCCAAATGTAATGCCTCTTCCAGCATGTCAGTATCACAGACTGCTCCAGGTATGATTTACAAGCCTTGGGTCTACATCACCCTGCTTTGTTTTTTATTATTCTGAAAGGATGTTAGATGCTGATAAAGAATAGTACTTGGTACTTAAAAGTTTCCCATAAGAGGAAATAACCAGCAAATACACAGCTCTTAATGATTATGGTTTTTTTGTGGGTTGGAAATTATGGGTAAAAAGTTACTGTTTTTTGTTTATTGTTTGAAATTAAAATGTTTGACTTGTGTATAAGGAAGTGGATAAGTTTTGTATTCCAGAAATATCTTGCATTGCTACCCTGCACCTACAGCCCTCAAATTCAAGTACATTTACTACCACCCTCAAAGGCAGAAATGTTTCTTAATTTGAACAGTAGTATTTAACCATAAATAAATTAGAATACTTTTATTGTAGCTCTGCTAGGGTGTACATATGATTTGACTTAATTTACTGAAAACAGGAGCAAGCAGAAGAGTCAGCTAGCAGTTGGATGGACGTGCATGTTTCAAATCAGTTAATTAGCTGAGAACTGGCATTCTCTGGAGTTGGTACTCTTGGAGTTTCATGGCATTTTTTTTACCTGTTATTTTATCTCACAGCATTTGAAAAATAAAAGGTGGTACTTTATTAAATTGCATTTGCATGTTACTTTCTTGGGCATTTCTACTACCAGAGGCTGAGAAGCATGAAGTGACTTTCTTCTCCTTAGCTGTGGTGTGGAGCTGTGACTTGTGCTGTGTAGAACTGCATTGCCAGAAAACTGAGGTAATTACAAATATGGCCCATTAACCTGAGGTATCTAGAGAAAATACCTGCCCAGAGATTTCACCTGATTGTAGCAGTGATATAGGGTAGTAGTAAGGAAAACACGAAGAATATGTAATCAGGTATAAATATCTGATCAGTTTTATCATTGTATCTAGGTTTTGTATTAATACTGGTAAAATCAAATCTCTGCTAGGCTTGTTGAAAGATTATCCAGCAGGTGGAGTTTGACAGAATGGTGTGACACATACTGAATAGGCAAGGTAGGCAGAAACCTTCAAATTCTGTCTGTGATTACTGAATTATGATTTGAAGACAAATACAGATTAAAGTTATGTCCTGCTGCTTAACCAATACTCAATTTTCATAATAACACAGATGCTCTTTAGAAAGAAAACCATTCATGCAATATTCAGCTGATCAGGAGATCAATTTAAGGGCCTAAGCAGGTGGTTTATTTTATTTACCAGGCTTTGGCTTTAAGAAATGAACAGAGAAGGTACAAAACATCCTGATGAGGAAGGAAGGAATCTTCTTTCCTGCTTTGGTTTACCAGCCTAATCCATAAATTCAAGGGAAATGAGTTTATATTTCATTTTCTTTAGAAGAGACTCTCCTGGGAAAAGGGGGGGGAGGCTTCAAGTGATCTGATGACCTTTATCACCATTAATGTTAAGACTAAACCTAAAAGAAGAGCTTGTGTCTCTGAAAGCCTCTGTTATTTTTCATAGTACATCCGTGGGCTTAATACAAGACACTGCGTCCCTCTACGGGTCCTCTGTCTTTAATAAAATCCACTCTTTTCAAGGGGAAACCCTCTTCCTTCCCAGATGTAGGTTTCTGTGAAGTTGTGTGTCAAATGCCTGTGTAACTTCATGCACTTCTGCTTTAGCAGGTTAATTTCCAGGCACTTGGAGCTGGTGGTTGTGACTCAGATGCACTGAGGGAATGAGGGGGTGGAATATGCTGGGTAAATGTTAATTGGAGAAGTGCTCCTGCTGTGTGTGTTTGAAGCACTCAGCTAAGTTACAGAGGTGAGGAAGGATTTCCACTTCTTTAATTCCATATTCTATGGATGGAATATACAAACAGTAAAGTAGGTAAGAATTAGTTTGTTAGCAGGGGAAGGTACCCTCTGGACAGAGAAAAATGGCAGACTAGATTTTTTCCCTGTAGTATTTCTTCTTGGAATTCCAAGTTACTGTGGTTTCCACTAGCCACTCTCCTTGAATGGCACTTGTATGTATAGCTTTGAAAATAGCCACTTCACTATGAACAGATGTTTTTGTCACATAAGACTGTTATATTTTATTTCTCCATTTCACATTTAAGTCATTATGGCTTTCTGAAATGATAATGAGAACGTGTTTGCCAGTTGCTAGTCTAGAAATTATTTAAAAGTCTAAGTGCATGGTAAAAATCAGCTTTTGCAGAGTGAGTGACTTCTAAAAAGGAGTTGCTAAGGTGACATAATGTCTCTTGTAAGCTTAGTTAATGTTAAAAATCCTGATGCATAATACAGAATGCTTTAATCTTGATTACAGAAAAAAGGAAGAATTCTGGGAGGTAATTATTTTGACTAATCAAAAGTTCGAAGCCCATAAATAACAAAAAAAACAAGTTTTAGAAGAAGCACATTTACATTTAATGAACTTGAGTATCTTTGAGCCTCTGGAAGGTTCTGAGGGTCCGAGTCATAGATCAAGGAGCATGTTTGCTCAGTGCCTTTGATTACAAGATCTGTCAGTGTATGGTTTTATGCAAGTCTGCTTAGGCTACAGGGGGGTGATAATGAGGCTTTGCATTTTGTAACCCAAGGATTAGATTTTGCTTTAGATGGTTCCTGTGCTTTCAAAAGTCTGATAATTTGTGGAGTTAAAACACAAGAAAGGATTCTTCATTACTTCTAATTTATAAAAATGTCATTAGAAGTTCAGAAGCAAACAACACAAAGTTTAACTGTATTTTTTTTACTCTGCTTAAAAAAAAAAA